TTTCCATATTCGTCCCTTCTACATTATGAAAGCCACCGGATAGCCAGCCAGACAGACGGACATACAGAGAGTCGTGGTAGATAGTACAGTAGAAATGGCACCTAAATCCCTAGTATTTGCTCTAAACCACCCTCCTCGGGGCCTCTTCGCGTGCTTCAGAGCCACTGCGGAGGAAATCGTTCACTGATGTTTGTCGACTAGTCATCGGGGATCTTTGTCACTCTGGCGATTGGTAGCTTATCCTGAAGTGATATTTACACAAAATCAGTAATCTGTTTGTGAACTTGTAATGAATGTCAATAGATGATTAATATAATACTATGGCGACGTTGCATCACGTCTTGGACGAATAAGGACGAATAAAACAAATTCGCTCCATTCGTCCAAGATCTCGTGGACTTCTGCTGGTCACTGGGTCACCTTATCGATGGCCTGACCAGTCAATGTCCAGCCTATGTGACCAGCTCAAGTGACCAGCTCAAGTCCTCGTGAGAAGGACGTAACGTCGTCATTGCCAGCGTTATGATCCTGTATTAGACATTACGAGTCCAGAAATAGATCACAAATAATAATGCTAGACCTAGTCCTTCTTTTCGAGGAAGACTTTCTGTGGGCTACTGGTGTTTATTAGTCCTCAAATAATATGATGCTTACAAATGATATATTAACTCAGCCGGGCGTCTAAAATTTCTTTATAAACGTCCCTTTTAATGCTGCCTGTGTGGACTTGTTAGAGATAATATAGGGGAGAACTAGAAGCGGGCTGAACGTTCGCAATATTTATCAGAAAAAAGTAAACAAGATGTTTCGGTATATTTGATCCACAGTAAGCTATAACACAAATTACACAGAAAAATAAATAGAGAAAGTGAAATTGAAAAGATATAGAAGTAGGAACAGCATATGTCAAGTATAAATACTAATAAACTAATTGATCTTATTGGAAATAATGCAACACATATAAAGCGGGAAATATACGTGGAGGGCTGTAGGTAATCGGCACAAATTGGACTTTTGGGGAGCGTTCCCACAAACCCATTGCACTAGCTGGATCGGCCTACCTCTGTGAAGATTCTCGATAAATTGGATTCAGTGTAAGCGACTTAAATGCCTGGCACGCCGATTCAAGCTGCTAGGGGGTGATTTACGATAGTTAGTTACCACATAGTTACTCAAGGGGGCGTGCCAGACAATAAAGCTGATAACACTGAAAGCACTTTATCAAGAAGCCCCGCTGAGTTAGATCGTTCTAGCTAGTACGATGGGTTAATGGGAACGCAGTTTTAGGTCTTTTTCACAGAGATTGATACAGATTTATCTGTATCGCACCAGTTTGATAGGTCTAAAGGCTGGTCTGTCACGTCTAGTGGTGGAAACCCCTTCGGTATCTGAAAAAACTCACACTCATATTTCCCTCTTTGAATTAGAATTTTGACTAGCTGATTTATAGTACAAAACTGTACCAAATGGCACCATTCGCCCTCTAAAATACCCAATTTTTCGGGGCCATTCAGCGGACCGGGGGAGGGGGGGGGAATCGGCTTCGCATCCGCGGACCCCCCTTCGAATAATTCTGGATGTGCTCCTGGTCACACCTAGCGTAAAGAGGTACTTATGAGCACCTTATGTGACATTGATTATACGCACACCTTTGAGCGTATGAAATCATCCTGTTTCCACCGTTTTAAAATGAAGGTTGGCTACAAGCAGCGTACCAGGGCGACAGATTAAATAGGGAAAAACGGAAAAATCCACACAGGGCCAAATGACTGTCTATTTATCTAGAGACGTATCTGTGAATATCTGTGGAAAATCAAACTGTTGCCCTGGTAGAGAGTACAAGCAGCGTATGAAATTGGTTTTGGACATGCTCAAAACATTTTTATCTCCCTCCAGGTATGCGAGACGTGTACGACGCAAGTCAACGAACTCCTTGCGTTTGTCAAAGTGTGGTCAATTTTTCTCAAATGTTAGTGCTATACGCTAGGTGTAACAGTGTCTTTTACACGTTATTATGCTTCAGGTTTTTAATTCTCTTTCATGTGCCCCTAGCACTTATCAAGATCAGTCTGTATTATCGGTTGTGTCGAGTGGAGGCTCTGTTAAAGTGATTTCCTTATGTAATAACCATACCGGTAAGTTGTCAACTTCTCAAACTGTTCACTCCACCTGAGGCCAACTGAGTGATGGCGTCAATTCTCGCTAGACTAAAAAAGTGCACATAATAAGCCATTGGCATTTCTGTGAAAATGTAGAGATAAATTCAATCTGTAACCCTGATAGAGGGTACTCAACCTCGGACGGGACAGAAAACTGCACCACTGGACGTGAAAACGGATTTTATTCAGACAGAACATACGCAGGGTGGATGTCAGTCTCGCTTAAATTACACCATACAGGTATTCTCCATTCAATTCACATATAATAATGCCATACATTGATTACCTATACACTGGTTGATCAACTCCCGGAGAGAGGACAATGCTCCTTTTATTACAGACAATACGTAATGTATTTTAGAGCTTCTGCTTTTCTGTTTTGTAATACGGGCAGTCTGTTCCTTCTGTAAGTCTATATGAGTGATAATTTGAAATATCCCCCGTTTCCTGGATTTCCATTGGTGCTGTATTGTCGGTAAAGTACCTTGTATGTGCTGTGATAGGCACAGAGTTAGAATGACTTTGTATATGATATGATAAGAGCACCGAACTCATGTTGATCGTCTGTCTGCAGTCTTACGACAAGGAAACACTTCCCACACGCGGATCGCCAAATGATTCTTTATGCTGAAAATGTCACTTACCACTGGGTGATTTTGCAAAGATATTTTCACGAAATTCATTGACGGGATTCATCAGGTATGAAATCAACAGGATATAAATAGTTCTTTTTTTTCCACACAACAATGGCTGCCGTGGGCGCTGTGGCGCTGCAAGTAGATATTCTGATCTTTTCAAGGAATACCGGTCAAAATGACCACTGGGTTGTTTAATACAGGAATTGCCACAGTAGACTAATGATAGTCTTCAATGAAAATGCATTATTAAGTATAGAAAGGACAAATTACAGGGTATTTGACTACAGTATATGCGTTATTATGAATGAGGGAGGGAGGGATGGGGGTCCGTCACCCCACTCCGAACCCACCCCCCACTCTGTAGCCCAATAAGGTTAAATTAAAAACGGAAGCTAAAAGTCATCGATTAAAAATCTGTTTTACTATTAAAAAGAGATGTGGCAGTTGGATTAAAACGTTTTAAGGCCGTTTGCTCTCTCTTTTAAAAAAGAAAGTCTGTTTTAAAAACCAGTAGTTAATGTTGTTAATGTTTATGTTATTTCAGGTGTAAACGTTTAACAATTACAACTTTTTCAGTGTACATGTTTTTCCGTTTTTTTATTCTTTCTAGAGACTTCCAGAAGATTCCAAGATCGTCTGATCTTCTTGTGATTGGTTGAAAACTAGATCCACGAAGCTGCGCTTCCACTTATGAAAGACAATGAAGGCAGATGATTCTTGCTAAATAGCCAATATTTGGGTGCAGTCTATGAAATTTTTCGAAAAGCAAACCAATAACTGACTTCGGTTTTTAGTTCCATATATGTTTTGGTGACACAAGGTGTATAAGTCCTCTTCGAAATCTCTATCTCGTTTTATTACATTTTGACGCTAGGGACGCAAAGGTCGGCAGTCTTCGCTTGTGAAAATTGAACCATCCTTCGGGTGACGATCATCTTTTTGGAAAAAAAGTTTAGTTCTAAAAAGGTTAGTTGTCAAAAGGAAATGTAACTATAAGATCTACAAATAAAACTTCAGTTTTGAAAAAGGAGGAAAAACTGCTACATGAATAGGTTCCTACACTTCCTTGGTGCTACACTTCTGTGGTCTTGAAAACGAGATCAGTGGCTTGCTAAATAATTTACGATGTCGATTCTCGATATCTATAGTTTTAGTACCACATTACTTCAGGCAATACGCGAGAAACCGTTTCTGCAATATATATTTTTTTGGAAAACTAAGCAACAAGACCTAAGATTTATGTTAAACAAAAAGAATGATGACTCTGAAATGCGATGGGCAAATTACGACACCTGATATTCAAAGAATTACGAGGAATACTAGCTGTAATTTATATTCGAATTGCGTCTGGGATCAATTCACGAATACGTTAGTCCGGGCAAGTTTTACCGAAGGTTAGACATCATTTACATTTTGATTTTTTAAAGTTGTAAAAACACATATCTAAAATTGTTAAACGAAAGGACAGAGGACCTACCCGAAACATCTTCACGTCAAAAAGAGAATAAAAAGGCTCAGTTGAAAATGAGGACGGAGACGTAAGATACGAGGCTTTCCCCTTCTGTGAAAGATTTAGCATACAACCGAGCCACCATCCTCTAATAAATCGATTCACAGAANTTTTCACGAAATTCATTGACGGGATTCATCAGGTATGAAATCAACAGGATATAAATAGTTCTTTTTTTTCCACACAACAATGGCTGCCGTGGGCGCTGTGGCGCTGCAAGTAGATATTCTGATCTTTTCAAGGAATACCGGTCAAAATGACCACTGGGTTGTTTAATACAGGAATTGCCACAGTAGACTAATGATAGTCTTCAATGAAAATGCATTATTAAGTATAGAAAGGACAAATTACAGGGTATTTGACTACAGTATATGCGTTATTATGAATGAGGGAGGGAGGGATGGGGGTCCGTCACCCCACTCCGAACCCACCCCCCACTCTGTAGCCCAATAAGGTTAAATTAAAAACGGAAGCTAAAAGTCATCGATTAAAAATCTGTTTTACTATTAAAAAGAGATGTGGCAGTTGGATTAAAACGTTTTAAGGCCGTTTGCTCTCTCTTTTAAAAAAGAAAGTCTGTTTTAAAAACCAGTAGTTAATGTTGTTAATGTTTATGTTATTTCAGGTGTAAACGTTTAACAATTACAACTTTTTCAGTGTACATGTTTTTCCGTTTTTTTATTCTTTCTAGAGACTTCCAGAAGATTCCAAGATCGTCTGATCTTCTTGTGATTGGTTGAAAACTAGATCCACGAAGCTGCGCTTCCACTTATGAAAGACAATGAAGGCAGATGATTCTTGCTAAATAGCCAATATTTGGGTGCAGTCTATGAAATTTTTCGAAAAGCAAACCAATAACTGACTTCGGTTTTTAGTTCCATATATGTTTTGGTGACACAAGGTGTATAAGTCCTCTTCGAAATCTCTATCTCGTTTTATTACATTTTGACGCTAGGGACGCAAAGGTCGGCAGTCTTCGCTTGTGAAAATTGAACCATCCTTCGGGTGACGATCATCTTTTTGGAAAAAAAGTTTAGTTCTAAAAAGGTTAGTTGTCAAAAGGAAATGTAACTATAAGATCTACAAATAAAACTTCAGTTTTGAAAAAGGAGGAAAAACTGCTACATGAATAGGTTCCTACACTTCCTTGGTGCTACACTTCTGTGGTCTTGAAAACGAGATCAGTGGCTTGCTAAATAATTTACGATGTCGATTCTCGATATCTATAGTTTTAGTACCACATTACTTCAGGCAATACGCGAGAAACCGTTTCTGCAATATATATTTTTTTGGAAAACTAAGCAACAAGACCTAAGATTTATGTTAAACAAAAAGAATGATGACTCTGAAATGCGATGGGCAAATTACGACACCTGATATTCAAAGAATTACGAGGAATACTAGCTGTAATTTATATTCGAATTGCGTCTGGGATCAATTCACGAATACGTTAGTCCGGGCAAGTTTTACCGAAGGTTAGACATCATTTACATTTTGATTTTTTAAAGTTGTAAAAACACATATCTAAAATTGTTAAACGAAAGGACAGAGGACCTACCCGAAACATCTTCACGTCAAAAAGAGAATAAAAAGGCTCAGTTGAAAATGAGGACGGAGACGTAAGATACGAGGCTTTCCCCTTCTGTGAAAGATTTAGCATACAACCGAGCCACCATCCTCTAATAAATCGATTCACAGAAACGAAGGAAAGACAAGTTAGGGAAACTTCAGACAGGCAGTGTTCGCGTCTCACAGAGAAGTGGTGTACGGCCAAACGACCCTGCACTGTTCATCTCACATGGAAATGTCTGACGCAAACAGTTTACCAAGATTATTGCTGTTCACCGGCGCCATCTTGCCTTTTATGTGACCAGCAGGACAGGCAAAGAGCGCACGCGGATTGCCCTTCGACCTAACCTCTAGGAGTCGTGTACAGAGCTCAAAGTAAACTCTACCTGTTTACCTACATTTGAGGGTTGTAACAACTGTCTACAGCGCTATCTAACAGTTTCAAGGTTGTCAAGTTGTCGGAAGTTTCCGTCTTAACCCTGTATTTCAATTTTCCTCCATTCCAATAACCATGGAACTATTTGGACTGCGATCGCTCATCGAACGTCTGTGCGTCTGTACATCTTGTTTGTATATCATTTCCCGAAGAAAAATTTCTCGAAATTCAGGTTGAATCCAGAGCCGGCTTGATGATGGGTCCTCTGGTCAGATGAAAATTGACAAAGAAAGCTCGTCGTTAAGTTAAGTAACGAGCGTTGCCATCACATTTCTTGGAAACTATTCCTCGGAATTTTACCCCTTTGGGAATTCGGTCCAGAAACTACGTTAGTACGCTGCTCAACCAACTTTCCGCCACAAAAATACGGATATCTACGACGATTATAGTGTTTGGCTGTATGGAATTCCCCTGGTTAAATTCAGAATCTTCGCTCTACGGGAAACAAGGCATTATACTTCGTTCATGCGACAGCGTGCCAGAAATACGGAATAATTTTTAAAGGGCCTCGGCGCATACGTCATTTTGACATTTATAGGATACACATTCTGCGAGGATACGTCTCTTAATGGATATGAATCTTTATACTAACGTTTTCTCATTTAGAAAGGTAAGTTGTAGATATTTTTACATTTTTAAAAATATATATATTTTTAAGATAAGAATGTATTATGCTTTCTACTTCAAACTCTTTCTATCACTTCTCTTTCAGCGCGGACACTTACATAAACTTTTACTCGAACTCAATTTCCATAAAAATATTTAAAAATTGTTTTAAGTAATATGTTATTCTCACATAAGGTTGGTTTGAAAAAATTTGTTTTTTCTACGTTATGGTTGGGCTTACGGGGGTTGAATTGGTGAGAAGTAAGGGATCAGTATGTGACGTCATAATTACATGCTTAGACTTGGTACCCCTCGGAACTGAGGTCTGTAACTTAGGGACCATTCCCACAGATATTTGGGTCGATCCATTTTCCTGGGGAGTCTCACAAAGTCTCTATCAACGTAATCGGCTTAAATAATGACACGCCTGGAAAAGGTGTTAGGGGGTAATTATCTTTACCCCTAGCTGATTCGGTAGGCGTGACAGACATTTATAAGTCTCTTGAGCTGATAGCAATTTAGAGCGAATCCCCAGGGAGTTAGGTCGATCCAGATGGATCGATCTAAGTATGGGAACCCAGTCTTATTTTCTTAACTCTTGTGTCCTGATACACTCCTACGTATCACGGAAAATTGTAACAAATATCACCTTTCTGTGAAAATGTTATTAATTGTAATTAATTTGACGGAAAAGATATATTAGTTACAATTGAGTGGACTCCTTCACTGACTTTCGGAAATGTCACATGTAATGTGCTTACATGGTACAAAATAGCGCAGTTTTCACCTCTGCTGGTTATTTATAGAACTTCATGTATTTTTTGCATTTTTCATAGTCTGAAATCTCGTTTATTTTCCTATCTGTTGCCAAAAAAGTCTGTTGATGATGTTTCAAAGACATGTAAACCAATTGTTAGTTTGTGTGTGTGTGTGTTGGGGGGGGGGGGGGGGTACATGTACTTCGTTTGCTTGAGAGTCGTGTTTTACACGGATTGCATGTAATCATTTGCTTAAGGTATAGCATACGTGTTTAAAAATGTCCCAAAGTCATATTTCTATGTCTAAATATCCTGCAAAGCTGCATGCTATAACCAATTGAAGAAACTATTCGCGTATTTCGTCTATCTGAAGCGGATTCTTAATTTACAATCTACACAGGGTGTTGGTACGGAAGTGCTAAGAGTCCTCCATGATGCAGGGAAATTCATGATTTGTTTATTTATTTATTTGTTTGTTTGACCGATTGGTTTTATTTCCGTTCCAATTTTCCTGTTCTTCGTCACTTACCTACTGTCTAACTGTATTTCAAGTTTTGACACTCTTTCCTGGATTTCAGATTAACTCTACTTGACAACGTTGCGTCTTCCTCCCCAAGACCAACTATAGGCTAAATTGTAAGCTCAGTAACAGTCTTAAAATTTTATCTATGTAAAACTGAATCTACAAAATCTCTCTCCCTCTCTCTCTCTCTCTTTATAATAACTTTCCTAAATCTGTAATAGCAGAAAGTTTACAGGGCTATAACCTCGGTCCAAGGAAGAAAATAAGCACGAAAACACAAGCAAAAAGTGATAGGCACATCTATACTATAACATTGGCAGTTCATGTTCGCAAATCACTTTCTTTTCCATTGCCCTGACATTTTTCGCCCGGTTTGTGAAAAACCTGTGTACACTGCATTGAATTGTGGTCGCAGGGCGACAAAAACGCGTTGAATAATAGATACAATAATCAAAACTACAAGAAGGGATTTCAATCGAAACCTTGGTATTTGTAAATTAGTTCTTGTATCACAGTGCGTATTTGTTTAGGTGTAAGGATAATTAACTTATTAATTAATTAGCAGAACAATCAAACTGTCGCAGCGTCAGCGTCTAGGACAGTTAAAACCTTGTTCTACACCTAGGATAGGGGACCATTCTTCAACAAATCAACAACTTTGGATTCTTAAACAAAACTATTATAACTTTTACAGCTCCCGAAACGCACCGAAATTTTCAATCAGATCTATGTACATATTTAAAAACTTTCCTTTCAAGAAAAAAGTAGACAAATTTATTCTTCTGAGTGGAATAGGGGAGTATTATGATACCTAATGCGATTAATCAAATACATTTTAATTTATAATGGGCGGTATATTTACTGATTCTTTTGATACAATATGCAGGATTGTGTGTATGTGTAATGGGTTGATGTTGCATTTTATTGTTTATTGTCACTAAACCAGAATACGACAACTTTCAGTGAAGCTTAACGTGGTTGAATTGTGGGTTCCAATTAAGCTAATTTTGCTACGTTTTTATACAGGGAAATACGATTGTTTGTTTGGTGATTTTTCTTTCTTTTTCTTTAACTTTTTTCTTTCTTCCTTTTGCTGTTTATTTATTACTTTATTACTGTTTTATACCATAAAGACAATACGCTTGAAATTGAACGTTTGGCTTTCAAAATTTTCATGCATTATCCAAATACACACAAGTAAATGTAATTTCTTGGGAGCAAAATTTTCGAAATATTTTATTTAGTAGTTTAAAGACAACGAAAAAATATTTGTTGTTTTGAATAAAATTGAAATAGACTGTGGTTTGACACAGAATAGGATAGGCGAATATTTCATGCGTAGCCCTCATGTTTTGTTTCATTAATACGCTGATAACAAAGACGAGTGTAATAAGTGATGAAGTTAATTATGTGTTGATGTTGTCTCGAAATTAAATGGCTAGAGTGTAGTTATACTAAGTTAGGACTGCTAGTCATAAGTAAGGATATTTTTAGTCTATCTCTCGTAAGTGTCTTTTAATAAGTAACGAGGTTAAGTGCGTTTCAGTTTTGTCCGGGTATAGTTAGACTATAGCTACAATAAATTTGAATTGGTATTGAATTGGAATGGTAGGAAAGCGTTCTGCCTGATATTTAAAAGATAATTTTGATTTTCTTCCTAATGATAGTTTTCGCTTTATGCTTCAGTTTATGTCGACTATAAGTGTGACTTTGGGTTGGATGTTTGGTTTGCTTTGTTAGATCTATTGCAAAGGCAATAGCGATGGTCAAAACGAATAAGTACGGGATCTTTCGCTATAACAAATCCAATTGACAAAAAAGCTCTTCTTTTTTTTTCTCCTTATTACTAGCCTTATTATTACTAATTCTTTTTTCATTATGTGTTTCGTATTGTTGTGATTTAATTGTAACAAATAATTAGGTCTAAAAATAAATTAAAAATGGGGCCATCCACTTTGAAACTACTCGGAACATGACGGAAGCCATCTTGCCTATTTGACAAGATCGTCTGCCTTAATACAGACCTAAGGGTGGCAGAATCACAAGATGGGGACATGTCAGTATTTGTAGCAGACACCAAAAGGCTTTCAAGGTGTGAAGTTCCATCCGCTAACACCCATCTGTCTAACATAGTACGAATATAGCTTTTACACTGAAAAGTAATTTCTAAATTAGGGGCTCAGCCTCTTTGGAATTACCTTGCAGCGCATACGATCTCCCTCGTCTCACGTTTATTTAAAAATTAAATGTTTCTGACAGGCATTGTTGATATAGAATCGAAGGCTTTGAACCTCAGGGTTCTATTAATTATCGTTAAAGCAGTTTACAACGCCTGTTCGTATTAGTAAGGTTAAAAATGGGTGCGGCAATCTCCGCAAAACTAGCCTGCATTACTCAGCGTCGCTTTCGTCCCCTGTTTTGTAAGAATCCATAGAAGACTAGTTTACAAGTGCCGTAGATAAGGCGCGGTTTTCCCTGATACCCGGTTGCGTGAATTTATTGGCTGGATTCTTTGCCAACGCCTGCCGCATTGAAGGATGCTTGTAAAGAGTTTTTGTGTTCTATTCATTGCTGCGGTTGAGATGAAGGATTCTCTGAAGCATTGGACTGGTAATAATGTAGCAGAAAGCGTCTGTTTTTATGAGGCGATATGTTAATTTTTTCGTGGTGTAGTTGGGTGTGTGTGTCTCTCTCCTCCTTCTCTCTCTCTCTCTCTCTCTCTCTCTCTCTCTTACTTTGTACGCTTGTGTGTGTGCGTGGGCACTTGTTCGTCTGCATGTCTGTCTGTCTGTCTGTGTCTGTGCGTGTTTGCATTTTTGTGCACGTTCGTGTGTTTGCTTGCGGTTTTACCTGTAGGTGCTTTTGTGTGTGTGTGTGTGTGTGTATGTGTGTGTGTGTGTGTGTGTGTGTGTGTGTGTGTAGAAAGACCGCCGCCCGCGTTCGTTTTGACGCTCATGAATGCGTGCGTGCGTCATTGTTTGCGAGCTTGCACGTACATATGCTTTTGGCGTTGTTTGGTTGTGGATTTAAATATTTCTCAGTACTAGAAGAAAGATGTCCACTGCCTGTCCAATCCTCCGTGGTACCCGTGACTACTCTTGTGAGGGAATAGTATCTAACAAAAGGGAAATTTGAACCTTGAAAAATATCTTAATCCGAAATAAAACGTCTCCGAAAAGTTGCTATAAAACCCTGCAAGGATATAATTCCAATGCTAAAACCACATTTTAGTTCAACAGTTGATGTTTCTTTGGGCAGTTAGTGTGCTAAATCCTTACACTGTTCACCCAGATATTACTCTTCAAATTTCATAAAATGAAGCAAGATCTGCTCTTAGAATAGGCTTGCCATATCACAGAAAGGAAACCAACTAGGTAGTCTAAATATCTTATGAAAAACATGACTGTGCCTGATGACGCTGTGTACAAAAAGAAAAATCACAGAATAAAAAACGCATAAAGTTCGTTTCTACCGTTGTCAGGGCAACGGCTTGTAGATAACCTGGCAGCAGCGTTCTGGTATTGAATTGTCTTTTGTTCTGTTTGTATGGTGAACTAGAGGGCAACACGACGTAGGACAAAGAGTGATATTGATCCGTGTGAACACAACTTGTGGGGAGAAGACGGGCTCTTGTGAGCTTTTGATTGGCTGGCACGCTGTTGACGTATTCAGAAAATTTGCGCGCGTGTGTGTGCGTGTGTGTGTGCGCTTGTGTGTGTCTTT